GATTCCAGCTTCTCTGACATCTGGGGCCAGGGGAACTTGGGGTGCACACACAATGGGTTTCAGTGTGAGGGTGTGAGGGTGAGTGTGAGGGAACCCCCGCTGGGCAACAACAAGAAAGTCCATCTAGAACCCATTAAGAATTTCCCACTTTTCCTGTGGGAAACTGTTTTTGCTCAGTTGTTTGTTTTACCTTTGGTGTAATCGCTCTTCTGATTTCATTCTTTTCCCACAGGAAAAGTGTTTTTGCCATATATCAAAGGAATCACTGATCAGATGGGAAAACTTATAAAAAACACAAACAGTATTCAGCTCCACCAGAAAAATACAACAGATGCTACGATCAGCAAAAGACAGAAGAGACCCCCTCACTTCTGCAGGAGTATACCGCATACCCTGCAGTTGTGGACAGGTTTACATCGGGACCACACAACGTAGCATCCAGACAAGAATAAACGAACATGAAACACACTGCAGTCTTGGCCAACCTGAAAAATCAGCAGTGGCTGAACAAAGCCTACCTCAAACAGGATGCAGTATCTTATTCCAAGACACTGAAATGCAGGACAACACATCCAATTACCATGTCAGATTACACAGGGAAGCCATTGAAATTCATAAACATAAACACAATTTCAACAGGAAGGAAGGGAGTTCAAAAATAAATAGAGCATGGTTTCCAGTCCTGAAAAACACAAAATGCTCTACATCTTACAACAGCACTACAGATAAGATTAGAATTTCTTTTTTAAAAATAATTTTTATTTTCTACATAAATCCTACAGAACTACACACTAACTAAAATTACAGCTATACAATGACCATATATGAGAATAATTAATATCTTAAGTCAAAGCTTTTCTCTTATTCAAGTTAATAATATAATTTCTATTCTGTTATTGTGATATGCAAAAATTAAAATGATTGACAATGCAAGATTATGTAATGTAATATAAACATTTCTTCCAAAGTTTAAGCTATTTTCTGTCTTTCCTTCCTCTCTTCTTGCTTTTATAGTCTCGGGGTGGTTTGGGAGCTGGCACTCCCAATTCTGATTCAGATTCTTCTTCTGAGCTGCCGTCTGCAGATGTTTCGTGGCTTTCCAAGCCATGCGAACTGTCCAGTTCTCCTTCTTCTTCTTCCTCTGTGTATCCTTTTTGGGTTCCTGATGTCTTTCCAAAATGTGCTTCGCTTTGGTAAAAGAGTCAATCTTTTCTTTTTTGCCTTTGTAGCATCCATCGGTAGGTAGTGGAATTTTCCCATAAATAGGTGGTTAAATTCTTGTATTGTTGTCAGACTCACAGCAAACAATGAAATACACTCTTGCAGGAAGGTTTTATTTTATTGAAGCCATGAAGTACTTAGAACAGATTCTCTGTTCAGAATAACACAAGGTGCTTGAGACAGGTATAATAAAGCAAGTTTAAAATAACATGGGCCAATAGATATGGTTCCCGCGCCCGCCCTGAGGACTCATCGCGCGCCCAAACCCTGAGAAAGCAACGGTTGTAGCTGATTAAACAATTACTCTATTCTCACAATACTGTTCATTATAGACTAAGCAAAAAGCCTCCAAACACGAACCACTTGTAGCCTTGGCAGATAAGGTTCCTTCAAAGCACTGCTAGCGTACATGGAAAGGAATGCAGTTGAAGATGAGCGCATGAGGATGAGGGGGGACATGAGCACAAGAGTCTAAGCTAGTCCAGGGAAGGAAAGGGGGTGGGGATGGAAAAGACATTTTGGCAGCTTGCTGACAATTGTTTTCTCTTCTTCCTCATCTCAAATGGAACGTCTTTTAGTATTCTGATGTCTTCTTTGCTTTTCAGTGTAGTCCCAGATGTTGCTTTCAATATTGCATCTCTTATAGATCTCTTATAGAATCTGAGGTATATTTCATCAGGCAGGTTTTTTTCCTTAATAAATTCTGAATATGTCCGGTAGATCATATCAATTTCGCTTTGTAATACTTCCGCCTTAATGCCTGTCACTGGTGCAAGCGCTTCACTAAGGATTTCTTTCAGATTCTCAGATTTGTCTTCTGGTACACCTTGAAATCTCAACACGTATGAAGATTTTTCCATTTGTAGCTGAAAAGTTGAGTTTTATCTGAAGATCTTTCTTTTCCCACAACTTCCCGTCTTTGATCAATTGCTTTAGTCTTGTTTTCAACTTCTTCTGTTCTTTTATTGGATTCTTTTAGCTGTTTTTGTAAAGACTCCAAGGTCTTGCTGATGTTAGTCATCTAAGCCACCAGAGGTCGCAATGCTGTATCCAGCATGCCTGCAAAGTCAAACTTCACTTCCGGTTTAGAAACTGGACGTGTTGAGCTGGCAGGTCCTTGTTGAAGTTTTGCTTTCGCCACCATCTTTTTCAGCCCGATAAGACATTGTTTATGTTTTGTAAAAGTTTGCTTAAGTCTTTAAAAGTTTATTCGCTCTAACGCCTTAACAGTCTGGCATTGTAATGATTAAATTCCGCCGTCCGCTCAAACACCACCACTTTCTGCCCCCTCTAAAGCCAAAGAGCCAGCGCTGCCCGAAGACATTTCCGTGGTCATGTGGCTGGCATGACTAAACACCAAGGCGCACGGAACGCTGTTACCTTCCCACTGAAGTGGTACCTTTTTATCTACTTGCAATTTCTTACTTTCGAACTGGTAGGTTGGCGGGAGCTGGAACTAGAAAAGAGATGGGAGCTCACTCCATCATGCGGCACACTCCAGTCTCGAACTGCTGAACTACCAACCTTCCACAGCCTGCAGTTCAGCATCTTAACCACTTGAGCCACCGCAGCAAAATTACACAAGAAGAAATTCCCTTCTCTCTTTTTTTTCAATTTCAGGATGCCCATGAGTACAATGGCTGACAGAGTCAAAAGACTCACCCAAGGAGTGGCTCTTAGCAGCAAAACTTAGAATGAAATATTGTAGAAACAAAACAAAACAAAAGCCTCCAAATGGAGAAAATGTGCTTGGGGCAGTGTGAAGATACTAAACACAAAACCCACCGTGGAAGTCTCTTTTCTTGCTAGAAGCCAGCTGGAGCAGAATATGCTCATCCCTAACAAGCAGGGCTCTAGTCGGGGGGGAGCTCTCAGGTACGGAGCTCCGGAAGAGAACCTCTAGGGGGCGGGGCGGTCACGTGGTGAAGCCCCGCCCCCTTCTTTACCCCGCCCTCTGCTTCGATCCTCATTCCGTTTGGGAATGAGGATGAAGCAGGAGGGTAAATAGCCGGGCCTTCTGACACACTTCCGGTGATGTCAGGGGGTGTGGCCTTCTGTCACTTCCGGTGATGTCAGGGGGCGTGGCATATGCAAATAAGTTATGCTAATGAGTTATGCTAATGAGCTCCGGCAGCTCTTTTTCTACAACAAGACCCCTGCTAACAAGCACTTCTCATTGGCAGCTTTGAAAGGGGGGCAAATGTCTGTCAAGAAGAGAGGCTTCCTTGTGAAAACTGCCTGCTCTGTGCCTTCTGTCATTAAAATACTGACTGGCAAGTATTCTTGGTGTTCCTGAGTTGTAAACGGGACTAAGTGCAGTTCTCTCCAGAGTTACTCCAATCTAAACTTCTCCCTGGATGGCACAGTAAGAGTGCTGAATAAGTCATTACGTTTGTGTTTAGGAACGCGCTTCCATATTCTGGTCGGCTTGGGGGAATGACATCTCTCAGTATTCCCCACCCATGATACGGCATGAACTAATTCTAGAACAATTACTTAATTCCTTGATGCATGTGCCTTTCACCTGTACTCTATATTCTCAAAGGACTTACCTATTTGAGTTACGTGACTGCATTCTTTCTGAATTTTTGCTTGTAATGTAACTGAAGAATTTTATTGCATTATGTTGGTCTGAGGTGGTCTGCTGAATGTTTTTTATGCAGTGTTATGTCTTGTTTTTATTACTGGTCATACTCGCATTGTTTGTGGCAGGGGATGAGCTTTCGTGAGCCAGTGATCACATTTTTAGATACTGAAGGAGTGAGGAGTGATGCACGAAAGCTCATCCCCTGCCACAAAGGTGCTCCTGGACTCGTGCTCTTTTCTGCTACTACAGACAGACTAAAACAGCTCCCCATCTTGATCTACGCACATTGTTGTTTTTATGATCTGATTGTACTGTTTCTACTTTGTGATCTGCCTTGATCTCTGGAGAGGAGGCAAATATTTTTTTCTAAATAAATATACAGTGTTTGGCCAGTATTGCTTGGTGGCAGGGGATTAATCAACACATGCAACAGCTGTTATATGCTGGAAAACTGAAAGCTTTGCCTGTGAGGTTCACCTTAGTCCAGCCTAACTCTGCCCAAGTACCAGATTTTTGTATTTCACTACTTGTAAAACTTTGCATACCTCTACTTTGTCTTAAAATAAGATTATTAATGGCTTTCTTCCCAGAAGTGGTTACATTAATAACAACAAAAATTTTTAGGAGACACATTTCAGGTTCTCCTGAAAACAACTGCTCCCAGTTCAACTCATTCTGGCAATATGCATGAGTCAAAATATAAGTGACATTGTACACGTGTTCCATTGAGTGCTTCCTGATTGTCCTTCAACAAACAGTAGCAGCTCCACTTGTCCATCTTCCTGGCAGTGTTCCACATCTCTGTGCTGCCTACTCAATAGCCTGAACATCTGACAGCAAGTCCATGTGTTCAGCTGGCTGTGATTGTGTTTGCTTGCTACTGTTTTTTCAACCACTTGATGGCCCAGTCACAAAACCCATGGCCAGCGACCATGGGAACAGTAGCACATGTGACTGCAGCAGTGAGCAGACATCAGAGGGGGTGTGAAACACATGGAATCCGGAGCACTCGAACAAACTCACGTTTCGTGCCACTGGTGGTTTGTCAGGTCTGTCCCAAATAGTCTGAGTGTGGAGTCACTCAACCAGAAATGGTGGTCTTTCTTCACTCAGAGTGTAAGTCTGGTATGGCAGCTCCTCACAATGGGTGAAATTTCCCTCCTTCATATCACAGACATAAACAGTGACTCACCTCTTTTTTCATCTACGACAGACACAGCTCGGATGAAGAGGGGCGCATTGGACTCGGTATACTCCACAAAAACAAGGAGCAATTTCAGTGCAGTCTTTACAACCAGGCGAAACTGCAAGAGAAGAGAGGGCCAGTCACTCATATGGCTGCAGCATTTGCACACCTGCTGCCTGATGCTGGAATACAGATCAACCCCGTGTGGGAAACTGGGAGGCCAGGTCAGACCAATACTGCTGTCTCTTGACTCACAGAATCCTAGAATCACACAAAGTTGGAAGGGGCCATAAAGGCCATCTAGAGCATCCCTGGCAAGTGTTTGTCCAGCTGCTGCTTAAAGGCTGCCAGTGAGGGGGAGCTCACCACCTCCCTAGGCAGCTGAGTGTTTTTTAAAAAAAATTATTTTCAATACAATACAAAAAGAAATATTTGCATAAAGTGGAACAGATATTTGGTAATAAGCTGGACAAGAATAAGAAAAAAAAGAAGCGTCATGAAGGGACCTAGGCTTCAAAAATACAGAAGGTCTCGATAATAGCGATTATTGGGGAGAAAATCCCCATTTAGACAAGTATGCGACCACTGGAAACCAAATGGCTTGAAATGTGCGTAGACGGCCACCTGTGGAGAACACAGCGTTCTGCAAGGAGACAATGTTCCCATAATCTGTTTTTCCAGTTATTTAGGGAGGGGGCAGCTTCGTCTTTCCATTTTTGGGCAATCACAAGTCTCGCAGTAGCAACCTAGGCAGTTGATTCCACTGTTGCACAACTCTGACTGTATACAAGTTTTTCCAACCTTCCTTCCCCATTTAGACAAGTATGCGACCACTGGAAACCAAATGGCTTGAAATGTGCGTAGACGGCCACCTGTGGAGAACACAGCGTTCTGCAAGGAGACAATGTTCCCATAATCTGTTTTTCCAGTTATTTAGGGAGGGGGCAGCTTCGTCTTTCCATTTTGGGGCAATCACAAGTCTCGCAGTAGCAACCTAGGCAGTTGATTCCACTGTTGCACAACTCTGACTGTATACAAGTTTTTCCAACCTTCCTGTCCTTAATTTAAACTCATTATTGTGAGTCCTCTCCTCTACTGCCAACAGGAACAGCTCCCTGCCCTCCTTCATTAATTCCAAACATTGCCATTGTGAGAAATTAAGATGCCAACTTGGGTTTTCCAGGGATTGAAAGCAGGGTAGGAAGTGAACTTATTGAACTCCCCCATGGTCCATCGAACCCAGACAGAGTCTACTCAAGGGGTCCCGAATGTGGTGCCCATGACATTCATGGCCCCTGCTGACACCTGTTCTGGTGCCCACCACATGTTTTTAGAGAGTGGGCCTTTTACCGAGCAAGACTTCCGACTGGCTGTGCAGATTTTTAAAAACATTGCTTTGGCAATAGCCACCTTCACCGTGTGACTGAAGGTAAACTGTGCCAGTCTGGCTACACTGCCTGAGGCAGCCATATTTTGATAGCCATTTTGTGGCTGTGCTCACCATGCTATGTCAGAATTCCAAAGGAGCCTGCAGGCCTAAAAAGGTTGGGGACCCCTGGTCTTACTCTAGCAGTGCCCTCACCTTGAATGGCCCAGGGTATCTCGATCTTGTCAGATTTTGGAAGATACGCAGGGTTGGCCCTGGTTAGAATTTGCATGGGAGACCACCAATGAAGTCCAGAGTTGCTACACAGAGCCAAGCAATGGTAAACTACCTCTGCATGTCTCTTGCCTTGAAAACTTCAAAAGGGTTCACCATAAATCAGCTGCGACTTGATGCCACCTTCCAACACCAACTAGCAGTGCCAACCAAGGTCTTTTGAGTGGAGATGCCAAGAACTGAATATGGGACGTTTTGCATGCTAAGAACATACTGTGCCACTGACATCTCTGTTTAAGGTGGCATCCTTAAGCCATATCCAAGTTGCAGAAAAAATATATGCCACTGGAAAAAAACCCACTATTCTATAAATTTTAACACATTTTGTTGTTTTTTTATACTGCAAATATCTGTCATGAGTGACATTCATTGTATGAAATACATTTCATAAGGATGAGTCTCTCTCTCTCTCTCTCTCTCTCTCTCTCTCTCTCTCTCTCTCTCTCTCTCTCTCTATATATATATATATATACACACACACACACACATATACATATATATATATGAGTCTAAACTATAATGCTTGTTCACCAGCCACCAGCTTCTTCGTGGGAAATTGTGAAATACAAGCTTCAAAGCCGCATTGACAAGACAAGTTTTGGCAATGACTGCTGTTTTGGCCTGCTGGAGTCGTGTTTGTGAGCCTTGTGGAAGCACAGAATGGAAGGTAAGTCGGCTGACAACCTCCGTCGCTTCCAGTTTTCAACAACGTCAAATCACAGCAAGTACATTTGATGGTTGGAATGTATGGAGTTCACCTGTTGGATGAATGAATGTGACGGCATCAGCAGTTTATAAGGGACACTAAATGATTGCTGAATTGTTTGCACATAGAAATTGAGATATTAAATGCATTACATAAATTCAATTCTTTATATGATTTGTAATTTTTGTCATTTTTCATGGTGTATATATTTTGTTTTACTACCTGGAGGATGGTAACCATACTATATACGCCTCTACCTTGGATCATTGTCTAATTCTTTACCACTTAGCTGAGAAATATTCATCCAAAGTTGGTAATTGTCTCTATGTGGTATTTATGGACTCCAATTTTAGTATATGTGCTGCCGAAGCGAGTACTGCATTTAGGGACTTAAAAGCTGCCTTTTCCGTCCCTAGATCTCACCTATGGTCCAAGTTAAACAAGTCTACAACAGATAAAAGACTTCTTTTTTTTTTTAAGTACCTGAGGGTACACTTTAATTTTTTTCCCCTTATACATTACAAACAACACATAACTACCTCCAACAACACATAACATATAGCAAGAGACATTTCTCACTCCTTCTGCTTATTAAATTTCTAAATTCATTATCTATTTTACTAAGCTTATCTTTTCTGCATTCTCAAATTACCACATTTATCCATCAATTACGTTTACATTATACCAATCATAGAATCTCTTCCAAGTTTTTTGAAAAGTCCATTCTGTGCCGGCTCTCATCTCAAGTGTCAGTTTGTCATTTTCCGCCATTTCAAATAGCTTGTTCACATACTCTTGTTTCGTTGGTATTTCCATTATTTTCCAATATTTGGCATATACTATCCTTGCAGCTGTTGACATATGAACTATCAAATACCTATCTGCTTTATCAATGTCTTTCGGAAATATATTCAATAACAGTATCTCTGGAGTAAACAGGATATTAGTTCTTATTATTTTTTCCATTATCTCATGAATCCATCTCCAGTACCTCTTTGTAACATCACATGACCACCACATGTGATAAAAAGAACCAATCTTATTTTTGCATTTCCAACATTTATCAGAGCAATTAACATTTTGTTTAGCTAATCTATCTGGTGTAATATACAATCTATAAAACATCTTATACACATTCTCTTTATATGCATCAAATTTTGGGAGTTCCAAAATGCATGGCGAGAGCTGTTCTTAGGTGGGAGCCAGCACAAGGTTCCCTAGAACTTAGAGCATGGCTGGCTGCTTTCAGACTAAGGCTGAAGGTTTGTTTTTCTAGTCCATCGTCAGGGAGCTTGATATATAGACTGAAGGAGGATAATTATAGAACCACCTAGTTAAATCAAATAGATGAGAAACTGAACCTCCTCAGCCTCCTGATATCAACGATCAAAACTATATCTCAGCAAGAAGCATGGAGACAGATCGGATCGAAGGTAGGAAATTGGGATAGGGCCAGTATCGCTGCATATGCCAAGTGTGTATGTTCTCCCCTAGCTTTGGGGATCCCTCCTTCACTGACCCTTCCATTGTATCTAAGCAATCTTACCACCCCCTCTCGTAGATTCGCTTTTACTCTTGCAAGATTAAATGTTGTACCGTCTGCAGAATTAACAGGACGTTTTTCGTGAACTCCGTATTCAGACAGGCTTTGTACCTGCGCTTCTGGCGAGATTGAGACACTGACACATCTCCCTTTGTTTTGTTCTCATTGGTTTGCTCTTAGGTCATACTGGATATATCCACTTCTATGCAAATACCACCTTCCACTGGAGCCATGGGTGACCTCTTATCTGCTGTCAGATATCAATTCGATAATTACCGCTTCAGTAGCAAAATATTTAGCTACTTTAATAGCATTAAAGCGCAAATTATCATAAGGTCTGCATTTCTGGTTCTGTTTTATAATGATTGTGATGGTAACAAAACCACTCTAATTGCAGACAAGTTTGGGGTTTCTACGTACTCAGGATATTCCGCAGGTATGTATGTACGTATGTATGTATCTCTCTCTCTCATCTATCTATCTATATTGATCAATATAGATATAGACAGGGGTCATTTCGTAGAAAAAGAGGTGCAGGAGCTCATTAGCATAACTTATTAGCACAACTCATTTGCATATGCCACACCCCCTGACATCACCGGAAGTGTGTCAGAAGGCAACACCCACCTCTCAGGCTCCACTAAACTGTATTAGCTATTGGGGGGGGGAGGGGGACATGCAGATCTGCCCTCACAGAGGAGGGAGAGCTTGTGCCTGAATAAAACTTGGTCTTAAAGGTGCCACTGGACTGTTTTGGATTGCTAGCTATGGGGGGGGACCATGCAGATCTGCCCTCACAGAGGAGGGAGAGCTTGTACATGGAGGCAGGCCGGGGGGGGGGGGCTCTGCAACTTACCTGGCTGCTTCTTGCTCCTTGTGGCCCGACTGAGAGCTGCTGGGAGCAGGAGCCAGGGCATGTTGCATGTGCCCACCCCCTGGGCAGTGCTCCTTCTAAGCTGTGAAGTTTTGTGAGCAAAAATTCTACTTTGTGAGCTACTGGCATGAAAGTTGTGAGTGAGCAATTTGGCTTCTGCATAAATCAGTCTGCTCTGGAGCCCTCCTTCCTGAGCTAAGACAAAAATCTGTGAGCTGGGGCTAAAAAACTGTGAGCTAGCTCACAGTAACTCAGCTTAGAGGGAACACTGCCCCATGGCTCCTTACTTCCGGAGCTCCACTCCTGGGCGCTCCTGCAGGAAATGACCCCTGGAT